TCAGGGCAGGGGTGGGTTAGGGGTGCAAGCTTGTGGAGCCTTCACTCTAGAAGGAGGACCATGATTTGGGGGGGTGCAAAGCGATACCTTGCCTCAGAACTGCACAGTCAGGGAAATTGGGGAGCACATCAAAGCCCGTAGGGACTCATAACTGGCCACTGTCATCCTTGCTAATGAGTGTCCTCACAGTGCTGGGGAGGGGCACTCTACCCTCTGAGTCATAAAGAGGGAGGAAGCCCAGAGAAGTGACCACCTGCCGAGTGTCCCAGCACAGTGGCCCTTTCCCATAATTCCATGCTCTGGGAACGGAGTATCCCCAGGCCCTGGGCGCAAGCCCCTAGCCCATCAGGCCTTCCGCTCACGTCTGTGTCGGGCGTCATGCCCAGGTCCTCTCCACCCGAATCCTAGCCATGAAGGCCTCGCTGTGCAAGCTCTCGCCGTGCACGGTGGCCCGTGTGTGTGACTACCACACCAAGCTGTTCCTCATGGCCATCACGTCTACCCTCAAGTCGCTGCTGCGCCCACACTTTCTCAACACCCCTGACAAGAGCCCCGGGGACCGCCTGGCCGAGATCTGCACCAAGATCACCGATGTTGGTGGGTGTGCGGCTTCCCTGTCTGTGAGGGGGGAGGGTCATAGTGACTGTTAATCCCAAGCCAGCCCTTGAGGTGGGTGCTGGAAAGGCTCCCACTTCCAGACCTGAGCACTAGCTTTGGGCAGCCGTCCACGACCCTACTGTTCGTCGGTCTGAGTGCAACTTAGTGGCTGAGCACCTGTCCGGCATACACCAGATGTGGTGCTGCACAAAGATCAGAGGTTCAAAGTCATCCTTGGCTGCATAACAAGTTTAGCGGCCAGCCTGGGCTACATGAGATCCAGCCTTTATAAAAAAAACCAGACTGTTTCTTCCTGTGCTAGCTGAGATCTCACACGGCAGGTGCCTGAGCAGAAGTCAGGTGTCTTCCTTGTGCTGTGTGACATTCCTTCCTGCAGAGCTGTCCTGAATGAAGGTGGTTGAGGTCCACTATCCACTGCCCGGTGTGGGCAGCACCCTGCCCCAGGACCTGTGGGTGCTTCAGAGCCACAGTCTCCACCATGTTCCCTGAGCACCCCTCACTGTCCCCACAGACATAGACAAGGTCATGATCAACCTAAAGACTGAAGAGTTCGTCCTGGACATGAACATTCTGCAGGCGCTGCAGCAGCTGCTACAGTGGGTGGGAGACTTCGTGCTCTACCTCCTAGTCAGCCTGCCCAACCAGGTAGAGCCCGCCCCTCAGCACTGCCCCTCCTGGCCCTGGCCCCGGCCTTTAGTTTGGGGTGCTGTTCTCCACTGAGGCGGCACTCCACCACTCCTGTCTGTCTTGACTCCACCACTCCTGTCTGTCTTGACTCCACCACTCCTGTCTGTCTTGAGGATGTTCATGACCCCACTCCCCGAAAAGGGTGACTGCACCTCCCTGTCTGTCCCAAGTCAGCTGAGGCGTCTAGCCTTCCACAGCCTCCAGGCTGCAGGGTCGCAGGTCAAGCCCCTGCGGCTTGCCTGGGTCAGCCCCCACCAGGCCCCCAGGAGCATCGCAGAGACTGGACGGTTCCTTTTCTGAGCTGATCGTGGTCTGTAGGGCCCTGAACACAGCTCTGGTCTCCCTGACTCTGTGCCACCCATCTCCCCAGACCTCACCCAGGGTCCGAGGGTTAACTGGCGACTGGCCACACCCGCCCCTAGCAGCTCAGGGCTGCTCACACCCAGCCCTCACTTCCTGTGTCCCCACCCACAGGGCTCCCCCCTGAGGCCTGGCCACAGCTTCCTACGCGATGGGACCTCGCTGGGCATGCTGCGCGAGTTGATGGTGGTGATCCGAATCTGGGGCCTGCTGAAGCCCAGCTGCCTGCCGGTCTACACGGCCACTTCTGACACACAGGACAGCATGTCCCTGCTCTTCCGGCTGCTCACCAAGCTCTGGATGTGCTGTGAGGCGTCCCTCTGCTTATACCTCCCCCCCCAGCCCACCATTTCCCCAGCACTCGGCCTGAGCCCTGGACCTCAGGGTGCAGTCCCTAGTGCTCAGCCATCTGAGGGCAGAGCCCAAAGGAGGCGCAGTGGGTGCCATGTGGGTGGCACAGTAGCTCCTTGGGAAGGCTGCGCAGTGACCCTGTCCCCTCCCCACAGGCCGAGATGATGGCCCAGCCAGTGAGCCTGATGAGGGCTTGGTGGATGAATGCTGCCTGCTGCCCAGCCAGCTGCTGGTCCCCAATCTGGACTGGCTTCCTGCCAGCGACGGCCTGGTCAGCCGCCTGCAGCCCAAACAGCCCCTGCGCCTACGCTTCGGCAGGGCACCCACTCTGCCCAGCAACACCTCCACCCTGCAGCTGGATGGCATCACCAGGTGGGCAGCACCCAGCCATCCTTCCCCCACACCCTGACCAGCCCAGCAGCCCCTGGAGGTCTGTTTCACCATAGCTCTGCTCCCAGGTTCTCTCACACAGAGGCTCCAGCATCTTCCAAGGCCTGGAGTGTCCAATAATCAAGTTCTGTTTCATCAGGTCTCTGCATAAGAACTTGGCATTCAGCCTTTGCTGTGTGCACAGATGGTTTGTTTTGTTTGTTTGAGGCAGGGTTTCTCTGTGTAGCCCTGGCTGTCCTGGAACTCACTCCATAGACCAGGCTGGCCTCAACTCAGAGATCTGACTGCTTCTGAGATATTTGGTTTTTTGTTTCACGTGGTCTAGGCTGGCCCATACTCCCTGTGTGGGAAGGTGGCCTTGCACCCTGCTCCTCTGGCCTGCACCTCTAAGTTCACACCCTGCATGTAGAATTCATTTCTCCCACTGCTTTGCTGAGGCTGTAATGCAGCCTCATCTGGGCCAGGCCAGCTATCGCCCCTGAGATGAGCAATGCCCTAGTCTCAGGGTGTGCTGATAAAGGACTGCCCTGGCCATCACACAGTAAGGCCTTCACCCACCAACCCATGTTCAGCCATGTTTGGAGGGTTCTGGAAATGCTGGCCCTATCTTACCAGAAAAAAGCCATTGACTGCTGTTTTTACCATTGAGCCCAGGGTCACCAAGCAAAAGCCACCCTCTCCTGCACGGCTGGCATGGCCCTGTGGACACAGACCTCATACCCCCTCACTCCCATCTCATCCCCAGAGCTCCTGGCCAGCCCAAGATTGACCACCTCCGCAGGCTGCACCTCGGCGCCTACCCCACTGAGGAGTGCAAAGCCTGTACCAGGTGAGGGCTGCCGGCCAGGCTCGGGTCCCCTCTGCTTCCCTGCTAGGCCTCGCAGGCAAAGCCGAGATCTGCCGGCCCAGGCAGCTTGGGGAGGTCCTTCGTTGTGGCCTTGTGTGATGCCTAGGGTGGGTAGGCCAGGGTTTGGGGTCATACTGTCCCGCCTGGCTGGCATCGGCGCAGGCAACAATATTTCCGGAGACAAACAGCTATGTAGGGCAGAGGCAGGTGAGGTTGGTGGGAGGGTTAGGTGAGTGCCAACAGTCCCCTGTCCCCCAGGTGTGGCTGTGTCACCATGTTGAAGTCACCCAACAAGACAACTGCCGTGAAAGAGTGGGAACAGCGATGGATCAAGAACTGCCTGTGTGGCGGGCTGTGGAGGAGAGTGCCCCTCGGCTGCCCCTGACCACAGCCCGCTGTGCACAGCCAGGCTCTGAGCACGTGTGGGACGCGACCCTGCTGTCCTCACCGAGGCACTGCCACCACCCACAGCACGGGCACAAGGCACGTGGCTCCTCCAGGGCCCCAAGGAGCCGGGCTGTGTGTCTACCCTTTGAAAGGCCACTGTCCGTACAGCCCTGTGCAGGCCGGGGTGTCTGCCCCACTTTACCTTTTGGACCCACAGAAGGGGAGGCAGGCTGAGTAAAGTTCCTTTGTACAGCAGGCTTGTGCTGTCCCTGTGGCCCCCGCCACTGTGCCCACGCCCTGAGGCTCTGCTGAGGTACCCGCACGTGGACTCTGAGTGACTGCTGCCTCCCCAGCACCCTCCGTCTCCTGGGTTCTGCAGCCTCTGCTGTGGTCTCCAGGGGCCCTGCCTTCAAGCATCCACATCATGTGCCCCTGCAGCCCAGGTGGCCGAGCCAGGCCTCTTGGTTCTTGGTAACTGGTTTTGCTGTTTTCTCCCTGGCACCCTGTGGAGCTGACTGCAGGGCACACATGACCCAGCTGGGGGGCATCTAAGTCCTCGCTCCAGAGGATGGGCCCGGCTCCAAAGTAGCACACATTCAGCTGCTTTGTGGGTTCCTCTTTCTTCTGCCTTTCTCCACCCTGTCAGCCCCCAAACAGGAAACAAAGAATAGAAGAGAATGGGGTTGACGTTATCGACAGACTACTTCCTGGTGGTTGGGGCGTTGGGTTCCTTGGAACAAGTTTGATCGTTGCCATCCGGGTATCTAATTTCTTCTCGGCTACTTGACAAACTGTGACCAACAGCAAACAACCAACAACCCACAACCCTCAGGGCCCTAACATTCATGAACCCTCTGAAAGGTCCCCAGAATTCCAAAATCACGCCACCGCTAGAGCACGAGGCAAATTACAGTGGGCCGCTGTGCAACCTGAAGCAGCCGGCTCCTGGGACCCTCAATCCACAACACCTACGGGAAGCCAGGAGCTTGGCTTTGCTCTGCGTCCCTGCGCTCCGTGTAGAGAGACGCAGGGTTTAGTCTGGGTTCTGCCCATGGCGCTACAGACATTCCCGGCTCTCCTGGGCTCTGGGGCGGTATCCAGCCTTGGTTCACGGCCTCTCTGTGTGTTTCCCTTCTTAGCGTTTACGTTGCACAGCGCAGCTTCAGCGCGCCATAGCAGGGCTGTCTGAGCCCAGACAATGGTCTTGGGCGCAGCGGGACCTCCGTGAGTAGGAGCGGTCCCGCCCCGCCCCACGGTTCACAAAAGAGCATGCGCGCCCCTGTGTGGCCAGACTGGGAACCACCTGCCTTCAGCCTCCTGGGGTTGTGTGCAGCAGGCGCTCAATTAAGACCCACAGGGCTCAGATGCGTGCATTTATTATGAGCCGCGTGTCTCCGTGGTCCCTTCAGGCCGTCACATTACCATTTAAGATTCCATTGATCCAGTCCACAAAGGGCGCCACGCGGGTAAAGACAGCCGGCTTCTTGCGGTTGCCACAGACTCGCGAACCCCAGGAGACCACACCCTCGATCACGTGCTGGCACACCAGAGGGCCGCCGGAGTCTCCCTGTGGGGCGGGGCCGCGAGTGACGTGCCCAGCCAGCACCCGAGCCCCTTGACTCCCTGAACTCCACCCTTCCCGCTGCCTCCTCAGCCCCTCCGGCTCCACCCGCCCACGCCGTGCGCGCGGCCCGGGCCCTGCCCCCTCACCCTGCAACTGTCCCTGCGGTTGCTCTCCGCACACATCATGTTCCGAGTGATGACCCCGTCGTGGTACGTGCGCCCGTTGCAGACCGTGCGGTTCATGACTGGCATCGTTAGACTCTGCAGGACGTCCGGCTTGCGCCCCGCGTGGCTGACCACGCCCCAGCCGGCCACATCGCAGAGCGTGCCGGGCTCCACTTCTCTGTCCTCAGTTTGCAAGGAGAGGAGCTGCACGAAGGGACCCAGCGAGACGTTCCCCGACAGCTGAGGGTGGGAGGAGCCGACGGTCAGAAGAGCAGGCGGGGCTGAGAAATGGGATCTGAAGCCGGATTCTGGACAGGGATTCTGGCGCGGAAGAAGGGTCCAGGCTAGACCCTGAGCGGGAAGGACCCAGCTTCCTCACCTTCAAGAGAAGGAGGTCGTCCTCAAGGCTGTCGGGCCGGCTGCCCGGGTGAGGCACTGCGCTCTGCACATCATAAAACCGCTTGGAGGGTTCAGGCTGCGACAGGGAGTGAGCACCAAGGGCCACCTGCAGGTGGTCATTCTCCGTCCTGGGGACAGGACAGGGTCCACCTCAGATCGCGTGCCAGCCTCCCGAGCCCCGCCCCGCCCAGCCCCGCCACTCACACGCCATCCATGCAATGCGCGGCGCTCAGCACCCACTGCTCAGCCACCAGGGAGCCGCCACACACGTGGGTCCCGTTCACTTGCACCGAAGCCATGTAGGGCCGAGAATGGGCCTTGGCCTCCCGGCCCCCCAGAATCCGGCCTCGGGGCTGCCCTGCTGGGGACGGTGGGCCCAGTGTAAGTTCCCACCTCCAAGCCCCAGGCTGCCCCAGACTCAAAACCCATTTCCGAGTGGCTTCAAATCAGAAGTCTGGTGGGTGGCGCACACTGCCTCAAGACCACAGTGAACCTGCAGCAGACTTCTTCACCCAATGGGTCCCAGGGGCTCAAACGCAGGTCTTCAGACTTGGCCACAAACCCCCTTACCAGCTGGCCCTTCTTGCTGGCCCTAAGGTGAATTCTGGTTCTTTAATTCTATAAAGTCTACAGTTTCTTGCTGTTGATAAAAACACCAACTCCAGAAAGCTCAGATCGCACACTCTGAGCAATTCGGAGTGTGTCTGACCGCCGCAGGGCACCCGGGTGCACTGGCCCCCCCCACCCCTTCCTGGTCCACTTACCACATACAGCAGCCCCCAGGACCACCAGAGCCGCAAGGCACATGGAGCCCTGCATTTTCACGCCACTGACACAGGCGGGCACCCCGGCTGTTTGATGGGACAGGCGCCTCCCCCGCCCCGCCCCGCCTGCTGGGCAGAGAATGGAGAATCTACACTTTCCCTGTGTCAGCCTTTCTAGGATGGGTCATGTGACCCTGCCAGGGCCTAGGGGATCCCTCTTTCCCTCCTGCTTGCGACCCTCCCACTTGGGACCCTGGCCAGTGCCCTCTGCCAGTACCTGGCCTTGGTGGAAAGCTGAGGCTGGACCTGGCCCAGAACTGTCCTTCCAGCGCAGGTGGTGTCAGCAGCAGCAGGCCAGCTGGTAAACAACCCTCCCCTATCTCCTTACAGAACTTCCTTCTCCAACTTGGAGAGAAGGTGTCTTGTGAGTGGGGGAAGGGCACTTGAATCCTTCCTCCTTGTTCCTGTGGCTGTGGGGTCTCACACCTCAGCAAGCAGGGTTGTCACAAGGAAATGAAAAGGCAAGTCCTGTGACCTGCTTCAGGTATGGCTTGAGCCAGGGACTGAGACTGTACGACCCCACCCTCATGCCAATCAAGGTCTTGACTGACTCAGTCTGGGTCACCATCTCCTCCCAAAAGCTAATCCTGAGGATCTGCTCTGGAGGGGAGGGGTTGGGACAGGGAGAAGGAGAGCTGGGGGCTCGGGGACCCGCTCCCTGTCAGAGCACTGCTTGTCTCTTTAGGGGTGATATCTGTAGGACATCCTGGCCACAGAAGTTTCAGCATCAGAAGCCACCTGCACCGCACAGTATCAACCCTGGCAGAGGCAGGAGGATCTCCGTGAGTTTGAGGCCAGCCTGGGCTACAGAGTGAGTTCCAGGACAGCCAAGGCTGTTGTCTCAAAACAAATCATAAACAGAGTGAGAAGCCTTTTGGGACAGAACCTAGATTATGCAAACAGGAACCTAAGAAATTGTAACAGAATCTGGCAACCACCCAGGGTCAGGCAGACATGGGACACCAGTCAACAACCCCAAACCTCCACTGGCTTGGACCCTGTCCCAGCAGGGGCGGGGTGGGGTAGAGGAGGAAGGAGGAAGGGTGTACAAGGCCATCTGGGGATCTTTGGGACTCCAATCTAATTAGAAAGTGGATAATATCTCTTTTATCCTTATCATCATTATTTTAGTTTTTCGAGACAGGGTTTCTCTGTGTAGCCCTGGCTGTCCTGGAACTCACTCTGTAGACCAGGCTGGCCTGGAACTCAGAGTTCTGCCTGTCTCTGCCTCCCGAGTCCTGGGATTAAAGGCCTGCGCCGCCACCGCTGCCACCACCACCCAGCTATTTTTATTATTTGTATGTTTTATCTATTTCATTTTATGAACTATGTGGGTCGCAGGCAGAGGGCTGGGCTTGCTGGAGCCCGTTTTCCCCTTTGGCTCTGTGGCAGGCATGTTCACTGGCTAAGCCACTCCACCTAGCCTATGATTAGGTTATTTCTGTTACTCTTAATTCTGGGGGTGGGGGGTGCGTGTGCATGCCTGGTGCCCACAGAGCCAGAGCAGGGCATCCAGTCCCCTGGAGCCGGAACTGTAGGCAGTTATAAACCACCATGTAAACCAGGCTGTCCTCAAACTCTTGGCAATCCTCCAGCCTCCTGAGGGCTGAGACCTAGCTGAATGTGGATTTTAGGGAACAGAAACCAAAAGCGTCATCTGCTGACTGGCATCTTTCTGTACAAAGTGGGGAACAGGCCTCCTGCCATGACTGGTCCCAGCTTGCTTGCAGTGCCCCGGGGAGGAACCCCTCAAGCAAAGCAGTGGCTGTAGCCCACACTCTGAGGCATCGTCACACACACCGGACCCAGACCCAGCGCACAAAGCAAACGTTGCTTTTATTGTGGAAAACAAAACAAAACAAAAAACAAACAAAACCCCCTCCTGCAGAGGGCGGACAGGCAGGTCCTAGTCAGGCCTGCTCCCGGGGTCTCTGGGGTGAGTATGGGGGCGGCCTTCATGTCTACGGATGATGGAATTGATCCAGTCTGCAAACTCAGCCACAGGCGCAAAGGCGTCTGGGTAAATTCCAGATCCACAGCCTCCTCGGATGAAGGAGTCAATGCCTTGGACAAGCCCGTTGCAAACCAAGGGTCCGCCAGAGTCGCCCTGTGGAGATATCAAAGGTCAGAGGCTGGACCTCTGGGTACCTCCTACCCACACTCCAGCCCTGGGGAAGTCCTCCCTGGGGTCTGACCACCACCTTCACCGCTGCATAAGGTACTTACGAAGCAGATGCCTGCCTGCCGGCGCGGCACCAAAGTACAGACGTTCACCCGGCGGCGGCACAGGTTGGTCACCACCGTCACGTTGAGCTCTTGGAGCACGCTGGGCAAGGGTCGGTTTGTGCCCAACCTGCCCCAGCCCATGGCCAAGCATGGCGTTCGGTCCTTCACGCCACGGCCCTGGGCGGGCAGCCGGGCCACCTGCACGTTGGCGTTAATGGTAGCAGAGCCATTGAGCTGCAGTGAGAGGGACAGGGGGTGAGGGAGAGTCACAGGGCGCAGGGACCCTCCCCGCCTCCTTAGCATCCCGCCAGCGAGTGGTGGGAAAGGTTGGGGACTGGAGGAAGAAATGAGGGTGCCCCCACCCCCCACCCCCCAGCCGCAGGTCGGCGAATGGAGAAGCACAAACAGGGGTTTGTTGGCTGAACTCCGCTGGAGCCTTCCATACATTATCTCCTCGGAGCCTTCACCATCCAGCCACAGGACGGGCCTTGGCGCTGTGCTGCGCTGGGAACAGGCTCGGAGGGCGCCCACTGCGGGTTCCCCAGGATGCCGCCGGCCCCTTCTGCCCCCGCGGCTCGGGCTCCCTCCCGCGCTCGCAGGCCCACCTGGATCACCACGATGTCGTTGAGCAGCCGCGTGGGGTCGAAGCCGTTCTCGAAGATCCGCTGCACGGAGAAGGTCTGCCGGGTGGGCTCCCGGCGCCGCAGGTCGTGGGCTCCCAGGACCACCTGCACCGACCGGAAGTTCCTGGGGGCAGTGGAGGTGGGGGTGGAGGGTGCGTGGGAACGGCCCCCCATGCACCCGGTGTGGCCCACGTGGACGCCGGGGGCTGGGAGGGGACGGAGGGGCGGAGGGGGGACTCACAGGCCGCTCACACAGTGCGCCGCTGACATGACGAAGTTCCTGGCGATGAGGGTGGCGCCGCAGAAGTGACCCCCGCGCCGCTGCAGGGACACCATGAAGGGCCAAGCGTGGGGCCGGGCTGGCCGGCCACCCACAATCTCTGAGGCCAGCGTCGGGCCTGGGGGCGCACAGGGCGGAAGAGTGAGCCCCAGGCTGCTTGGACCCTCGATGAGGGAAACTGAGGCACAGAGAGGCCCGGGGACCTTGCCCAGGGTACTCCTGGACTTGAGACCCTGGTGAGTCCCCCAGCCTTAGAACCCGGTGTCCTGATGGTGTCTTTCTCTGAGGTCCTGAGGGATGTGGAAAGACAATGGATGTGGGTCCGAGCGCACTCACCACCCAGGAGCAAGGCCAGCAGCACGGGAGCCAGGGGCCAGCGGGACAGTGGGCTGAGGGCCATGGCAGGCTGTGCTCTCCTGGCTCCCACACCCCTACCTAACAGCCGTACTTATAGCTGGAGCCACAGGCCGTTGTATTGCCCCATGCCGGCCACAGCCCCACTTCCTCCCTGGCATCAGGGGGTGGGGGGGCGCACGACCCCTCAGGGTCCTCACCTCAACTGCATCCATGCTGCTGCTGTCAAGGGAAACTCAGCAAGCTGGGCTTTCCCCCTTTCTTTCCTTTTCTTTCTCTCTTTCTCTCTCTCTTTCTTTCTTTCTTTCTTTCTTTCTTTCTTTCTTTGTCTTTTCTTTTCTAAGAGGATGTCAGGGCAGAATGATGGTGGTGGCTCACCCCTTTAATCCCAATACTTGGGAGGCAGGGGCAGGTGGAGCTTTGTAAGTTCAAGGCCAGCCTGGTCTACAGAGTGAGTTCCAGGACAGCCAGGGACACACAGAGAAACCCTGTGTTGAAAAGGCAAGAATTAAATAAAATAAGATCTCCGGTAGCCCAGGCTAGCCTCAAAGTCTTAATCTTACTGCTTTCCCCTCCCCCTTCCGAGTGCTGAGGTGACAGGGGTGCCACCTCCGTGCTATATCCAGCAGCTTGCCTCAGTTTACCTCAGACATAGCAATAACAGCAACATGTAAGTGTATTGAGTTGTCACGGGGTGTGGTGCGAGCCTGACTTTTTCCTGGGGTGACAGGGAATGGCTGGATTCCCACCTGAGGCAGAAAATATGGGGGACGTGGAGGCTGTGCCCATCAAGTGGCAGCTTAGTGTGTGTGCGAGCACGCATGCAAGCATGCGTGCAAGCATGCGTGTGCATGAATGTGTGTGGTGTGCATGTGTTCAAATGTGTGTGTGTGTGCCATGTAGCCCAGGCTGGCCTGGAACCCACAGAGACCCGCCTGCCTCTGTGTCCTCAGTGCCGGGACTACAGGAGTGCTCCACCACGCTCAGCACAGCAGGTCTCGTGAAGCAGGGTCAGGACGACACGGCACACTGCAGCCAGCTGAGCCCTGATTCGCCGGTTTTCCCCACGGCAGAACTCAGGCCCACCTGATGGCATCAGTGCCTGGGCACCGGGGAGAAAGACCTGGCCTCGGTGGGGCCACAGTTCCCATCTGGACCCCCACAGTCTCCTCCTACAACCGAGACCGGGCCTGACCCGGGACCCAGCCCCCCACTCTGTGGCCAGCTCCCCTCCAGTCTCTCCCAGGAGCCCCAGCCAGGGCTGTTGCAAAACCAACTGTCTCATCTCCAGGACAGGGCATGGGGTGGGGTGGGATCCAACGGACATGAGCAGGTGGGCAGGATGCTGGCGCCAGCGAACAAAGCTTCCGATGAGGAAGACTTAACCACAGCTGCACTTACTGAGCACCGCCTGTATACGGTGCTCACCATGCTGTCCAGTACCATAGTCCAGGCCCTGAACTAACCCCTTCTGTTGATGTTTTATTATTTTTTTAATGTACATTTTGCCTGCATGTATGTCTGTGTGAGGGTGTCAGATCTCCTGGAACAGGAGTTATAGACGGTTGTAAACTGCCACGTGGGTGCTGGGACTTGAACCTAGGTCCTCAGTGCTCTTAGCCGCTGAGCTATCTCTCCAGCCCGCTCAAGTTCTTTCCTGACCTCCGTTTAGTGCCTCCAGATTCCCAGCATCTCCTCCCCCGCCCCCCCCCAACACACACACAAACGCAGTCCCCACACAGCGGTGAGGCACTGCGGACGGCTCAGCGGGTGTTGGGAGGACTGAAAGCAGCCTGGGGCCGGAGTTCAGTGGCAGCGAGCTCGCCTGGTGTGCACCCAGCCTTGGCATCCAGCCCAGCGCCACGTAACCAGCTGTGATGGTCCCTCGCGTCGTCCCAGCACGCGGGAGGCGGAGACAGGAGGATCCAGGGTTCTAGGCCAGCTTCGGCTACATAGGGAGTGAGAGGCTAGCCTGGGCTATGTGAGATTGTCTCCCAAAACCAGAACAGGGTTAGAGAAGGAATAAACCTGTGGGCTCTGTCTGGAGCCTGCTGGACTGGACACAGCGCCACCTGGTGGCAGCGTCGAAAGAAGCCAGCCAGCGAGCACCGCCTCTCACTTCGGAAGATCCTGAGGCGAGTCCGCCCCTCCCTCACTCCTCCCGGGGGGGGCTTTGGACCTCCTTCCCTTCTCCCTGGGTGGCTCCAGCTCCTTTCTCTACCGCTGGGGAGAGCGGGGCGCTTCCACGTCCGCCCCTCCCAGGAGCAGAGCTGCTCGCTCTTCTGCCCTCCCCGCAGTCCCACTGCCGTCCACCCTGCCTGTTGCTTTGGCTGCATCAGGCCCCGAGGCGCCCAGTGCCCGCCAAAGCCGGGGAGAGAGCCCGGTCCTCAGGAAACCTGGAGCTGGGGGACACTTCACCGAACCCCGCCCGCCACAGGTCCTCATCCCTTCTGGGATGTGTCCGGGTTCTAGTTGAGGAAACGGAGGCCAAGAGGTGCAAAGCGACTCAGGGTGGTGCCCGGGGTGGGGGGTGGGGACTGAGCCTAGCCCCCGTGGTTCCATCCTCTGGGGCTGGGGAGTGAGCCTGGCCTCCCCTCGACCCCTTTCTTCCCTGCACGGTGGATCCCGACCTCTGGCATTGAGGATCTGCCCACATCCCAGGTCTACACGGGGTAAGAAAGACAGGAGACAGCTCTTAAATACGTCTCAGCTTTTATTCAGGAGAGTTGGGTAGGCTGTCTTGGAGCACAGAAGGGCAGCTCAGGGCCCTGCGCCCCGCAGGATGGAGTGAATCCAGTCCACATACAAGGACACCCGGGCGAAGAAATCCGGGAACTGGAGGGAGGCGCATTCTCGGATCACGAAGGAGTCGACCCCCTGAAGGACGCCATTGCAGATCAAGGGGCCGCCCGAGTCTCCCTGAGGTAGAAGAAGGTTCAGGCCCCAGGCCGACAGAAGCCAGCCGGGGGATGACCAGGAGGCCCTCGTTAGCTTCCTGTTGGGGACAATCTGAGTGGGTCCAGAAGGGGCAGGAGGGGAGGCGCACAAAGGACCAAAGGGAGCCTGCTCTGTAGCAGGGGCCCAGGGCCGACCCACGCGCGGGCGACTGGTCCCGCCAGCGCTGCTCGTAGAGGGGAAGAGACCACGGGTCAGAACGGAACAGACAGGCGCCCAACATTCTCCTTCAAACCCACCATCCTCAAAACCCGCCCGGGCAAAACCTTGAGCCCAAGAGCCCCGCTTCCCGCCATGCCCTCCGGGTCACCCACCTGGGCACACACTAGCCCAGGCATACCCATCTCCCCACCCCAGACACCCAAGTTCCTAGGGACCCGCAGTACCCTGGGATCCGCACCTCCGCTGAGCAGCCCGGCCCCACCGCAGGCCCCGCCCACAGACATCGCTCCGCCCAGGCCCCGCCCGCCCTGGGCTCCACCGCACACAGACCACGCCTCCCGCGGCCCAGCCGTGCACTCACGAAGCAGATGCCCGCTGCCCGCCGTGGCACCAGCGTGCACACGTTGTGTTCCCTGCACAGGAAGGAGACCACCGTGACGTTCAGTTCCTGCAGCACACGCGGCGTGGGCGCGTTGGTGCCCAGGCGGCCCCAGCCCATGGCCAGGCACTGGGTGCCCTGGGGCAAAGACTGGTTCTGCTGAGGCAGAGAGGCCACGGCCACCTGCTGGCCCAGGGAGGCTGGCCGGTTCAGCTGCAGCAAAAGGGGGGGAAAAGACGTGAGGACTCGTCCCCACCGGCCCCCCGGGGACATGACATCTCCTGAGCTCCCTCCATTGACCCCGGTCCTGACCCCTTTAACTCAAACCCTAACCCGTGGCCTAACTCAACCATCCCCGTGGCCTAGCCTGAGGGTTAAGCCCCGGGGCCTATGTCTGACAGGAACACCGGCCCAGTGCGGCGGACAGGAGCCAGCCTGGTCAGACGCTGACCGACAGGCCGCAGTCCACGCGGTGACAGCTCCGCAGTTCCGGCGAGCGCACGGGAGGTGCTCCCCAAGCGCCTCCTGCCGGCACGGATCCCAGTCCCCACCTACCTGAGCCAGCAGCACGTCGTTGAGGTGCTCCTCGGAGTTGTAGTTGTTCTGGAAGACCTGAGTGATCGTGAACCTCTGCTGCTCGGGCTCGGGGCTCTGCAGGTCGTGGGCACCCAGCACCACCGTCACGAGCTGCCAGGGGCTGCGGTTAAGGTTGTGGGGTGTTGGTTGAGGCAGGGGGAGGGATGGAACCCCGGTCCTCTCTCACATGCTACCAAGGGCTCTACCCCTGGGAGGGGATACCCCGACCACGCCCCCGGCCCTTCCAGAGTTGGATTCTAGGCGCACGGGAGGGGGGGGGCAGGGAGAGAGAGAGAGAGCGAGAGCAAACACTGTTGTGGTAATCTGGAGAAGACATTGGGAAGAGCTGGCCGGGGAGGAGACTGAGGAGCCTGTGCTGGCGGCTCAGACGCGCCGCCCCTCGCTGTCCCCTGTACTCACATGTCCTCCAGGCAGTGGGCAGCCGTCAGCACGAATCTGGGATGGATCAGCGTGCCACCACAGAAGTGGCTCCCGGGGAGCCTGGTCAGCTGCAGGGAGGCCGCATAAGGCCGAGAATGGGGCCGAGCCTCGCGCCCACCCACGATCTGGGCAGCCTGAACGGCTCCTGGGAGAGACACACGTCAGGACGGCAGCCTGAATAATACTCCGGCCCTGAGGGCCACAGTGTGTTCTAGCTATGGCTTCAAGGATACCTGTGCCTGGGAGGAGTTAGGAGCTGGCTTGAATCTATGCTTATTATTTTTGTTGTTTTGAGATAGTGTCCAACGCTGTGGTCCAGGCTGGGCTTGAACACACGTAGATCTACCTGCCTCTGCCTCCCAAGTGCTGGCATTAAAGATGTACACCATTAAACCTGACTTGTAATTCTTGATTCCCTGCAAATCCCTCTAAACAGTGAGGGCCTGTGAGTGGCCCAGTCGTAGAGACTTCTCCAAAAAACCCATCAAGGGCTGAAGCTGGGGCTAGGGCTCAGTGGGTAGAGCCCTTGCTTAGCATTCACAAAGCCCTGGATTCCATGTCCAGAACCATGGAAACCCAGCATGGCTGTGGAAGCTTGCCACACTAGTACCAGGGAGATGTGGAATGAGGATCAGGAGCTCCAAGTCATCATCAGCTGTAAAGTGAGTTTAGGGCCAGCCTGGGCTACAGGAGACCCTGTTGCAAAAGGACTGTAAAACAGAAGGGAAACTGAGTCAAAATGCCACAATTCTCCCTCTTTCTCTATCCTTTCCCTCCCAGGCATTTACCTAGGGGGTGCCTTGATCTCCCAGCTGCTCTTGAAGGGTGCTGGCTGATAAACAGAGCCCAACTCACCACCGAAGACCAGGGCAAGCAGGAGGAAGGGATGGGCCCCATTGAGACATTGGTGACTTCCAGCCATGGCCAGGCTCCTGGCACTCTGCTTGCTGGGTCCCTCTTATAGCCCAGCTCTGTGGGGAGCCGTTGGACTGTGGCTGAAGGCTGGGCTGGGTGTTCCACTTCCTCCTTCCAGCTTGGGGGCCCGGGAGAGTTTGCAGTGGGGCAGCGTTCGGGGGTCTCTCTGGAGGCATGGGAAGCCACCTGCTACCCACTGCACTCTCACAGCTCCGACCCACAGAGGCCCGGGACCCCGCTGATTACTTTCTGCCTTGGTTTTCTCTTGGGAGTTCATTGTTTCCCCTCCAAGGGGGTAGTGCGTGTGTGTGTGTGTGTGTGTGTGTGTGTGTGTGTGTGTGTGAATGTGAGTGTGTGTGAAAGAGAACATGTGGATGAGTGTGTAGTATGTGTGTGTGTGAGTGAGTTCATTTTTAAGCAGGGTCTCATGTAGCCTAGGTTGGCCTTGAAAGCACCATGTATCAGCAAGGATGACCTTGAACTCCTTCCTGATCCTCCTGCTTCCACACGGGGATGATTTTCTGTCCTTTTCTCTTTACTTTCCCCTGCGCTGACATGATATCTGCTTGTTACTTCATACATAGATTTTATTGTTTTGTTTACTTACTTATTCACAGGCACATGGAGGCCTGAGGCTGACACAAGGTGATGCCAAGTGACTCTCACCTTAGAGAGAGGCAGGGCTCTGTCTATGGTTCAGCCAGCTCACCCACTAGATTGCTGTCTTTGCCGGGAGCTCCTCTCACACACGCTTGGGATACAAGCAGTCTGCTTCTGCTGCAGAGCTTTGCACCAGGCTTGTACATGGGTTCTGGGGACCAGAACTGTAGCTCTGTCTTGTGCCACAAGCACTTTCAACACTGACCTATCTCCCAGCCCCCTTATAAAATCCCAGACTAACCCAGAACTCACATCAATCCTCCTGCCTCCGCTTCCCAAGTACTTGGATCACAGGGCAAATATGAGTCTAAGCTGGGCAGGGTGGCACACGCCTGTAATCTCAACATTCAGAGAGGCAGAGGCAGGCAGATGTCCTCGAATTCAAGGCCAGCCTGGTCTACAAAGCGGGTCCAGGACAACTAAGGCTACACAGAGAAACCCTGTCTTTAAAACAAACAAATAAATGGTCTAAGCTGGTAGAACAGTGGGCTCTAGCTTAGTGGGGAGCGCAGGCCCCGGGTGCCGTTCCACTACTACAGAAATTCATTCCTTCATTCCTATGTGCACTTGTTTACATGTGTGTGTGTGTGTGTGTGTGTGCGCGCGCGCGTGCGTGCGCGCGCCAGAGGACGACTGTGAAGGTACAGTTGTCTCCGTCCACTGTGTGAGTGCCAGGCAAAGAACTGAGGTTGTCAGGTTAGGCAGCAAGCGCCCTCCCCACTCAGCCATTTCAGCGGCCACAAATGAAGAAGAGAATTCATTAAATTTAAGTTAGAGGAATGAAACCACACAAAGAGGAAGAAACCACAGACCTGGTGGACTTGGGGGAAGAAAAGAGAAAGGATAAGGTCCTGCGGTTTCGTTTGGAAATGGAGCCTGGCTGGCAGAGGTCCACCGTGTTCCCGGACTTCTTACACAACCCAACGGCTGGGATGGCTCCAGAGCCAGCGGTGGTCGACAGCAGTGGCACTTCCTCCTCCTGCTTGCCACCAGCATCTTCTTCGGACCTCAGTATCCTCGGGGTGGGTATGGCTCCCTGCCTCTGTGCCCTTCACAGAGTGTGACTTCGGACCAAGTGCCAGCCTCAGGAACCAGGTTGTGGGTTATGTCCTGGTGAGGGCAGAGTAGACCTCTGAGACCTGCCTATTTGTTTCTTGGACAACTTTGAAACAAGCTCTCATGTAGCCCAGGTTGGACTCAAAACTCACCATGTCTGCTGAGGATGACCTTGAACTCTTTAAATTTTTTTTTTTTTTGGTTTGTTTGTTTGTGTTTCTCTGTGTTTCTCTGTGTGCAGCCCTGGCTGTTCTGGGACTGACTCTTAGACTAGGCTGGCCTGGAACTCACAGACATCCACCTGCCTCTGCCTCCCCGTCGTGTTTCAGCCTCTTGACTTCTGGAATTACAACAAAGAGTGTGATGGCATCACACTCAGCCTCCTGCCCTGGCTCCGAGCCTACCCACGGCTGGCCAGGACTCCTGAGCTAGGCCGTGCCTTACCCCAACTCCACCTGTAGATCCCTCCCTGGAAGGCCCAAGCTGCCCTCTCCCACCGTCCCCTGCAGGCCACAGCTTCTTCTCCTCAAGACCACCAGTTAAGGGCCTTCCTTCAACACTAGATTTCCCAGGGGTCTTGCAAGCTCCCTCCCTATTAACAGGGAAACTGAGGCCTAGGGCTTGTCCAAGTCTCTGCGTCCCCTCTTTGGGCTTCTCCACCCTCAGCCCCTGAAGCTGGGGCAGTGTCAGGACTGAGTGGGGAATTACCTGTGCCCTACAACACAGGAACTGTGGCCAAGGGCTGCTCCTTTCCCTGACTCTGTTGGAGGATGATGCCCTCCGGCCTGCCTGAGCCACTTTTACCTTTTCTTTTTCTTTTCTTTTCTTTTTTTTTTTTAAGATTTATTCATTTATTATGTATACAACGTTATGCCTGCATGTACGCTTGAATGCCAGAAGAGGGCATCAGATTTCGTTATAGATGGTTATGAGCCACCATGTGGTTGCTGGGAATTGAACTTGTGACCTCTGGAAGAGCAAGCAGTGCTCTTAACCTCTGAGCCATCTCTCTAGCCCCCACTTTTACCTTTTCTGTCATTTGTTTGTTTGTTTGTTTGTTTTGAGACAGGGTCTTTCTGTGTAGCCCTGGCTGTCTTGAAACTCACACTGTAGACCAGGCTGGCCTAGAACTCACAGCACTTTGCTTGCCTCTGACTCCTGAGTGTTGGGATACTTTTGGCTTAGTTTTGAGTCAGGGTCTTGCTCTGTAGCCCAGGCTGTATTGAAACTCATAGCAACTCTCTTGCCCCCAGTGCTCGAGAGCAAGAGCTGCACACCGCCATGGCGGCCTGCCTCTGCTGTTCCTTTCCTGGTGGGGGTCGCAGAGGGCAGGTGCATTTGCTGCGTGTGGCCCCCAGGCCTGGGGTGCTTGTGGTTCCTGCAAAGAAACTCTGACACGTGGGTTGAGGTTGAGTGTGTGAGAACAGAAATCAGTTTGGGAGAAATGTTTTGACTGACGGGGTGAACACAGGCATGCAGGGGCATGGAGTGGGGAGGGCTTCGTGGGAGCAGAGCAGGGTGGAGACTGTAGGTGCCTAATGAGAGCGGCGGTCTATGCCCCATTCAAATGGCGCCTCCTGCTTGCTTTCCTTTCCTTATTTTTCATATGTTTCCTCATTTTTCGTATGTGTGCCATGTGCTATCTATATGCTCGTGTCTCCTTCCAACCGTCCACCTTCATTCTTTTGAAACAGTTCTCACTGTATGGCTGGCCAGGCAGGTCTTGAACTCATGGCCTTGAACTCCCTCGGCCTGTCTTACAAATGGCTGAGATTACAGACGTGCACAGCCACCCCCGGTTTTACCTTACTTTTTATTGCTGTTGTTTTTTTCGAGACAAGGTTTCTCTGTGTAGCCCTGACTGTGCTGGACTCGCTTTGTAGACTGGACTGGCCTCGAACGCACAGAGATCCACCTGCCTCTGCCACCGCATCTGTTTTGAAACAGGGCCTCTCCTTGGCTTGGTGCTTGCTGATTAGGTGAGATCCTCCTGTCCTCCTCTACCCAGCGCTAGGGGTGGCTTCGTAAGCTGGGGCTTTGAACTCGGGCCCTCATCCTTGCAGCACAAGAACTTCACCGTGTTGGTCAAACTGGGCTAGAACTCACAGCAATCCTCCTGACCCAGCCTCGAGAATATTGAGATCTCACTTGCATCCCACTACACCGGACTTCAAACAGAGAGAGCTGGGGAGGGGGGCTACGAGCTTCAGTCCCACTTCCCATTGGGCCACAAGTGTTTTTGTTAAGGGCCTGGTATACAGTAGGCGCTCAGTAGCTACTGATAATACCGATAGAATGATCGCCTAACTCATCTGGGCCTCAGTTTGCCCACCTAGAATGGCGTGGGATCAACCAGTTCCTACATTTACAGGGCTAACTCTGTAGAGGGGAAAAGCTTGCAAACAGCAAGCGCTACATAAGTGCACCTTACAATCATTTATTCTCAAGGCACCAGTTGCCCAGGGTCAGGATGATGAGGTGGGCCTGAAGGTTGGATAGAGGAAAGGTGGGGCGGGGACGATGGGGAGGGGAGGGGGAGGACAGCAGCCCCTCCACCCCTGTGTCTTTGTCTCTTTTCGCTCCGGCGCCCAGGGACCTCACCATGGAAACGGACTCCAGCGAGCCGCGGGCACGGAAGACGTGGGGGTTGAGGGCTCGGCGACCGTGAGAAGCAGGGAGGCGACCGGGGGGGCCGCGGGATCCGGTCTTCGCCAACCCCGGCCGCGCGCCCGCCCCTAGGTCCCCGAGGCCGATCGTGTGCGCGCGCCAGGGGCAGGGTAGGGACCCGGATTGCGGTCCTGCAGGGCCGGAGACCCCGAGACCCGCAGAGCCGGAGGCGGAGGCGCCCGAGCCGGGGGCGGGGCCGGGGCGGGGCCGAGCCGGCTGCAAAGCGCGCAGACAAAGAGCCCGCGCCCCGCGCACGGCGCCGGGGCCTCGCGTCCCTCCCACGCGGGGACCCTGGCTTTGTGTCCGCGCTCCGCAGCGGACTCCGCCCTCCCTGCCCCCGCCAGGTGAGCGAGCCGCGTGAGCGCGCGGGGGCTCCTGCATTTCCCTTCCCCAAGTTCCCCCCTCTGCCCCAGCCTCAGTTTCCCCCCAGCTCACTTGTCTAGCCCTGTCTCCCCTCCTGGGATCTCCATCTGCGCACCTTCTGGTCTCCAGCCTGCCTTTGTCCCCCCGCAACCTCGGCCTACAGCGCCCGCGTCACCATGATTGCTGTGAAGGAGAAGAATAAAAGGCCGAAGGACAGCATGACGCTCCTGCCTTGCTTTTATTTCGTGGAGGTGAGTGGGGGACATGGCATGGGGCTTCAGAGACCGTCCCCTCCGCGCTGCGGGCTCAGGCCTGCACCGCGGTACCAGACCACCTGGAGCTGGGATGGGGATGAGGCTGGGTCCAAGGTGCAGGGCTCTACGGGTCGAATAGGAGTTGCAAAGATTCGGAAGGGTCCTTTAGACGGCGAGAACAGACGCGGGGATGCTAGGATGCTGGGCTCTCTTTTAAGGACACGGGTGAGAAGCTCGGCTAGAGGGGCTGGAAATCGGGGCATTGGTGGTGAACAAGCCCCAGCTGGTGAGAGTGGGGGCTGGGCATTTGGCCCTACAGTGCCCTGAGGCGCGTCTAAATTCAAGCACCCTTCTGCTAATAGCATGGCCGTGAGCCCCCACCCACCCACAGCTCCGCAACCCCTTGGTGAAGCTAGCCAGCTGTGGTGGAAAACTGAGAGCGTCTAAAAATAGAAGACAATAATAAATGCATTCACTTGGTGCATACTAAGTGTGGAGGGTTGCGGGGTTTTTTTTGGTTTTTTTTTTTTTTTTTTTTTTTTTTTTCTTTAAATGGCAGGAGCTGCTAGCCAGGCAGAGTCCTCCAAGCCGCTGGGTCAGGCTGGAGCCCAGTCTCCTGTCCCCACAGGTGTTCCCTCCAGCAGGTGACCTGTGTGGGCCACAGAGCGTTAGGGAGACCGCTTATGTTCCAAGATGACACTTAATTGTGACCATAGATTAGCCCGGTCCCTCGGGGTCGCGTTCACTAGAATCCTTTGAAATCCTTCCAGAAATTGCTTTCCAGCTATTTTTTTTTCTCGCTCATTTAAAATTATTTTCATATATACTTCTTTAGTGCTGGCAATAGAATCCAGGGTCTACACCTAAACTGGGGCTCTACTCCCTGACCACGCCCCCCACCCCCTCACTGGGGCGTTCTAGGTGTGGCTTCACCCTGGCCACGCCCCCAGTCCTTCACTGGGGAGTTCCCGGTGGGGGCTCCTCCCTGACCACGCCCCCAACCCCTCCCTGGGAAATTTCTAGGTTAGAGCTCCACCCTGGCCACGCCCCCAGCCCCTCGCTGGGAAAATTCTCCACCCCTGAACCAGGTGCTCAGCCCCAGTCGGGAATTTCACTCTGCAGCCCAGGCTGGATTGGAGTTTGATCCGTGTGCCAGGTCAGGCTCTCAGCAGCCTGTTGGGAGGCGGGGATCACCAGCACAGACCACCATGCCGTGCTCAGATCCCCCTTTTGAATCTGTGTCAGTGCTTAGGAGCTCATCCCAACTGATAGGTGTGCTGAGCCAGAGCCAGGTGAGGTCAGGTGTCTGTCTAGTTGCTCTTACGGTTGACAGGGTCTTGCTGGGCTAGGAGCATGCCGGGATCTAGTACCCTCACCACCGTGCAATACCTGTTATATGTACACCCAACCTTTCCCACCTTGCTTTGTGGGTACTTGAACTCGGGTCCTGGCGCTTGCAAAGCAAGTGTTTACAGCCCCTAAGGAAGATGATCTTCTTCTTCTTCTTCTTCTTCTTCTTCTTCTTCTTCTTCTTCTTCTTCTTCTTCTTCTTCTTCTTCTTC